AGTAAACGTTAGCAATGATATAATCAATCTCTGGCCAGCCAAAGTTTTACAGTCAAACTGTGGCTCACTTGGAAAGTTGCCCACAATGCTTCAAATAAAACTATGAATAGATGCCATCTGGGAATTTTTAAACAATTTTTGTAACTGTGTTATTTAGGTTTACAAAACTGTAATATAGATCATACATATGGATACTGCAATTTCAGCAGTTGAATTACACATTAACAAAAATTACCTTCCCACTTTCAGATAGGAATAAGTATTTGGAATACTAATGGTTAATATCATCCTCTAAACATCACTTAATTGGGAATGTTACATAACTCTAATTACTTCTTCCGATAATGTAAGCTTTATATCATGGATATTTTTCAGATTTGAAGTCTGTCCAGAAAATATAAGGTAAAATTAACTTTGTCTTGTTTCAAATGCAAGAATGGTTACTTAAGACACTTTTTTCTGAGCAGAAAAGCTTTAGCCATGCACATGTACAATTTACTGAATGGGTTGCAAGCACACTCACTAAATTTCATGTAACCAACCATTTCATAGCATCAGTAATCTGGCTAAAGAATTAAGAATTCACCCACAAATTAATACAACTAAATTACAAATGTAGTTTCCTTGCCAGCCCACAAATGTCAGCTACAATGCCCAATTCCTTCCTGAAAACTGCAGACTGAAGACACAAGGAAGAAAAAGGTGCACTGAATCATATAGAACAGCAGCCCCCAATCTTTTGTGCACCAGGGACTGGTTCTATGGAGAAAGTTTTTCCATGGACCAGAGGAGGCATGGTTTTGCATGCTGCCTGCATACCGTGGATGGGGCTTCGCTTGTTTGCGCAACCTGGTTGTTTGCATGCTAGGGACTAGTGGCAGTCCACAGTCTGGGGTTTGGGGGACCCCTGGCATAGAGAGGCTACTTCAGTCATAATCCATATTCATTTTATTTTCACTAAACCTTAGTTCCAAATATGTTTTTAGTTCCATACTCTTCTGATTCCTTACCTTCTGTCCAAAGACTGAAGCTAGGAACAGAACATTCAAAAAGTGAAACCAAACCACAGTACAGATTATTAATTCAAGTGTCACAAAAATCCATGTAGTCAGCTAAAATCAAAATAATCAAATCTTATTCCAGCTCAGCCTGAAACATTAGAAAGTGCTTCAGAAATATTGTTAAGATTACTTGTTCTTTTCTTCTTGCAGCAGTTTACAATCCAGAAAGAAAGCTCTATAAGCAGATTTATTGTACTGAGCAAGAAGATGGGTTACAGAAACTTAGAAACAGGCTATGAGTTACTTGGTTCTCATTTAACTGTGAATATATGAATATTTGGAGAAGTCTTGGCTTCATGAGGAACATGGTAATCACTTGACACCACAGAAATGTCCACCACTTCTTATTTTGCAGTGTTTTGGAAATTCTTATCTCCAGAGCAAGGGTCTTCAAACTTGGCAAGTTTAAGACTTGTGGACTTCAACTCCCAGAATTCCTGAGCTAACATGACTTGAGGAGGAATTTTGGGAGTTGAAGTCCACAAGTCTAAAAGCTGTCAAGTTTGAAGACCCCTGCTCCAGAACCAGAGAATTTCATGGCAAAAGGACTTTCCCTAACTGGACATTCTCCACATTCTACGGTTGTAATTACTGGGTACTCTCAAATACTTGCTTCATGGACAATGTGTCAGAATATAAGATACTTTAACTTAAAAACTTTCAATTAGGGCTTGAACTGCATTATTGTCAGAAAAGTCTGTTCTGTTTTAGGTATTTCATTCAATTGGTTAGAGCTAGTTTTAAGAAAGAAATGGATTGAGATGTATTGTTCCCTAACCCTTATAATTTTCCTCTTTGTGTTTTGTATTTAGTGAAGCCCAGGCATTTGCCTGCCATGACAGAAATGGTCAGTCAACTTGGTGGCTGAAAGATTATAAACAGTGGAATAATAAGAACATATAGCCCTGTGACTTTAAGAATACAGGGCTGAATTATGTTTTGATAATTACAGCAGGAAAGGTGAGAGTAATGGTTAAATATTCAAAACAATATTGACTCTGTTTTTAAGTAAGTTTAAGATTACTTTGAATTAATTTTTTGATACCCAATCACATGATTAAATATACTTGCTTTTGTTGCACATTAGGAAAAGGTAATAAATAAAGTGATTTTTAAAAATTGTCCATTTATTTTAGGTGATCAAGATGACATCTGATTAATTAATTAGTGAATTTAGAAAATTTATATAGCCGCCTACTCAGTCACAGTAATTCAAGGTGGCTTACAAGCAATAAAACACAGTATAGAAAAATACACACAAACACACACACATGTAAGCCTTTGATGAGTTCCATCACATTCTGGGTTCCCACTCTGGATTAAGCTACCCAACAGGATATTGATAACCCATAAATTTACACAGAAAAATGCTTGGAATACGAATTCATCACTTTCCAATCTAGTATTTATTGAATTAGAATTAAAGAAATGTTCTGAGGGTAGAAAAAGGTGAGAGGCTTTCCTGACAATTCTAGCTGAGTGAATTGAGCTTTCCAGCCTGTCTTTATTGTTTTGATCACTTCCAAATTTATTTCAATCTACTGTGAAGATTTATTGGGGCACTGAAACTATCTTGGATTTCTATACCAAGAGAGGTGCAACCCAGATAATTCCCTTGAGCATCGCAATGACTTTGATACTTTTCATTAAGATTACACCCAAGATTCATTTTCAAGTATCTCTGTATTCAAGAGTTAGGAGAGTGTAATAACAAGGTATTTTTCTGGCAGCTGTGTTCCATTTTTCAGGATACACAATAGGCCACACGCACAGTAGGCACTCCCAATACTAGATGGTTTTATTTTATTATACCTTTTCAAGTATTATCTTCAATCTTTCAGACGATGCTACCACATTTGTTTGGGTGTGTTTTATATGCTTAAAAGTTATTACATTCCAAATAGAAAAAATGTGTGGATCATAAAAGCTAAGTTGTAAGCAAAAAAATGTAGATTAATGGTGGGGATGTTCATTTTGCTTTGAGGGGGATGATGAATGAATTTGTCAGGGCTTAACTTCATGTGAAAACTTTGCATTGGTGCCAGGTTTTTAATGTTTGTGGCTTTAAATAAATATATGTATTATATTGTTTTATGATTGATCTTACCTTAATTATTGGTTGGCAGCTATCCAGAGTTCATTATAAGATGGGTGACTACATACATTTTAAAATAAATAAAAACTGCTCTCATATTCTATAATCCCTCTTTATTTTTATCATTTTTTAAAATGTGATAATCGCAACTGAATAGCATATTCCAAAAGATGCCTTTCCAGGATTTATCCTTTAATTTAACCTGCTGTATGTTTCTTGACCCTTCCTAGTTTAACTTCTGTCATAGATGTCAAAATAATGTAATCAATTGTGGCCACTGAAATTGCTTTAACAAAAAAGCTTAATAGTGTATTGGAGGATGAGGTAGGGAGCTTACCAATGCATGATATCACTGGAGCAAAATGCATTAGCCTAGGTAGTTATGGGTGCCAGTCTTTCAATACGTGTGACACCTTTGCTCAGCAAGCTACATTATCTACCAACAATCTTTCAGGTATAACTCAAGGTGCTGGTGGTTACTTTAGAGCCCTTTATGGCTCATATACCAAATGACTACAGGACTATCTCTTCCCAGTAGTACCTAGCCGTTCTCTTAGATCCAGGAGAGGCGTGTTCCAGCTCCTATCCATTAGAGAGTTTCATCTGGCATCCGTCAGGAATCAGAAAGTTTTTTCTTGCCCTCAAGAATATCATCCCTCCTGAAATTAGACTTGCTCCAATCTTGCTGTCCTTTTGCAAGGCACTAAAAACCTGTAGTAGTACATGTAAACTCATTTCATGCTTGATGTTATTATGAGTTGTGATTGTTCTCGGCAGCTGATTGATTTGATTTGATTTGCAACCCACCTTTATTATTTTTACAAACATCTCAACGCAGTGAATATACTCCATACACCTTCTTCCTCCTGTTTCCCCCACAACAAAATCCTGTGAGATGGATTGAGCTGAGAGTGAGTGACTGGCTCAAAATCACCCAGCTGGCTTTCATGGTTAGGGGGAGACTTGACCTTTGGGTTTCAATCCCAAAGGCCAGCAATATATTATTGATATCACTTTTGTCCTAATTCAGAAGTCTCATAATGCACTTTGATAGTGAGATTGATATGAAGGGTCTGTTCTTGTTTTGAATCTTGCCTATTCAAAATATTCTCCCTCCATACACTTATGGGATCTTTGGGTCTATTCTGTGTTCTGACCCCCAAAGTCACCTCTTGGTAAAGAGAAGCTACTACTTGACAGCAGAACTGTTGCTTTCAAGATGGATGGTCTGGCTTATCAGAGGAATATTATGGTTAACTTACCCACCTACCAAGCTAAAAACAAGACTGCACAAACTGTGAACCACAATAATAATCAGCTTCAATTCTTTTTCATCCAGGAATTTATTGGTTATATTTTAAATTTAAACAACATTGTACAACCTCAGCCCTATACTTAGAACAGAAATGAATGCACTTTCTTTATTCTGTATCTATACTGGGCATCAATGTCCTTCTTCACTATTACTTCTCTCCATCCTTTCAAATATCTGGATCCTTTTTAATCTGAAAAATGAATGTGAAATTTTAGTCTGAAAAAGAGCATTGCTTTATTATAAAATAGACACCAAAATTGCTAGGGCAAAATTATTAGGATGAAATGAAAGATGAAAACAATCATCCCTGGTCCAGCAAGATTCTTCTTTTATTCTTAAATTCATTCATTCTCTCTGTGACTGTATCTCCATCTTCTCTAGTCCAATAAAGATGAGAAAGCAATTGTTAAGTGTTACTGCCTCTAAATAAACTTATGTCTTACTAAAACTGTTCTTATAATCTGGCAAACCCTTTTTTCGTAATCAAGCAGCAGCTGAATAACTGAAAAATAATTTCTCATTCTGCAGCTGATGGACATTGTTTATTTTTTTTATGGGCCAACAATACCTCTAACAGAATTGTGGACGCATTTGCCGTATCTTCTGTAGAAATGGAACTGTCTTTGAACAGCAATCTAGGTAAACGCCAAGTTCACATACCAAAGAAGAGCATATATTTTCTAAAAACTTTCTTTTATCATATTGTTCAGAGTTTGTTTGTTTGCCTTTTAAAGCTTGTCCTCTTTAGATATGATTACAATGGCAAATAGGAAAGTGACCTTTCCATATCTTTTAAAACAGCACTAAACTAATTTCTGAGTTATCATGAATAAACATTGTGTGGACAACTGTTGCTATTTCTGACACAAATGGGGAATATTAAGGGAAGTAGTGACAGAATGAATACACAGTAGGCTATGCATAATTATACATACAAAATGTCTTAGATTTGCAAACTCTAAATTTAATAGAGGTTGAGTCTAGCCAAATTATATCTGGCCTCAGCCAAATTATATCTGGCCCTATATCTAAGCTATTGCCATAGTTGTATCTTTTCAAATGACACACCCAATATGTTACAGGCAGTATCAATGCTATTGCAGCACTCACAATATTTGGGCCTCCCTTTTGGGGCCTAGCATTCCAGGCAGTAATAAGTGGTTGCTTCTAGCTACTATTTTTCATGCTCGCAATGTTTGCAATAAAGTGTCACTCAAATCTGGGCAACCTACACCCTCAAGCCATATGTAGCTCTCAGCCTAATTTCAGAAAGCCATTATGTGGTCAATTTAAAGTTCTGGGGGGGAAAAGCTATTTCTCTCTTTCTTGATGGTCTAATGGTCTGAGTAAGAAAAGAAAGTAAGAAAGGAGCTGCAAATGCAAAATCGGGTATGAAAGGAAAGAGAAATAGGACCACAAAAAAACTACTCCAGCTCATCCTTTGTTTCTACGTCACTTTCATGACAGGCTTGAAGATTCCTAGTTGTAATTCTTGATAGATAACCAAAGGCAAAATAAAACTGTTCCATTGCCAAGGTGAAGTTTCAATATCCAGATTTCCAAAACGTTTCCAGAATGAGAGAATGTATTTATTTATAAAATGTCTATGCTGCCCAATTTTCAATGTCTCTAACACAGACAGACAATCTATGGCTCACAATTCCCCAGCTTAATTTTAAAAGTGTCCTGAAGTTTAAAATTTTATTGACATTTATCTCCTTTCCCTGCAGCCCTACCCTTTGTTGAGAGATCAAGGTTGTCCACCCAAAGGTAAAAGGAAGGATTTATCTCCATCCAGGTGCATTTAAAAGACGAAAAGGGTGCTAAAGGTCAAGATGGTAGCCATCACCACAGTGTTTTTTACATCTTTATTTACACCTATTACATGTGGAGTCCGTGTAAAAAAGGGGGATGGAACTTGGATTGCATGGACACAAATATCACCACTATGTCTGATCTCTCTCTCTCTCTCTCTCTCTCTCTCTCTCTCTCTCTCTCTCTCTCACACACACACACACACACACACACACACACACAGAAGCCCTATTTCCATCCTATTTGAACTCAGGCCTCCACCCGCTGTTTATTTCTGCTTCATCCAAAGTGGACACTCATCTGATAGAACATGATACTAGAAAAAGTACTGTTTCAATAAGTTTGAACTTACTGAATGAAAAGCTTACTGATAAAAACACAATTGCATAGCTATACAGCTAAGATATTTTAAATTCCCTTTGACCCATCACCCATGTTCATCTTGCCATTCATTCCATATATAACACAAAAATACAGTATATACGCACATATGCAACTGTTATTTCTGTTTACAGACTAGGCATAAGGAATTAGTAGGGTGTATCAAATAAGTCAGTGAATGTATTTCCATGACAGTGGCTGCACGTCCATTAGCTAAGGCCATCCTATAAGAATCAATAGTTTTCCTATCTGACTTTCTTCATATGAACATTGGCTCATGTAGTCAGACTGAGTTGGCCCAGACAATCAACAAATGATATTCATTCACATGAATAGATAGAGGAAAAGAGGAATAAATTTTCTGAATGGTAACAGTCACTTTTTAAAGAATTGAACTTAAGAATCAGAGAATTTGGACTCAATTTCCAAGAACACAAAGTATGATTTTAGCAATGATTATATCAATAAAGCCCCAGGAAAGCAAAAGCTACAAGATGAAATGAATAGGTCCATAGAATATTATTCTTGGGTTGGTTCCTAAAGATGAGCCAAAATTCCAGCAAATCCATAAAGATGACAAGGAGGGACCAATGGATAAAAGCAGCATTGCAACATCACAGTGCAGACCCTGCCCCTTTCTGTGTGTGCCACACCATGTCGTATGCCCACTCCATATTGCCAAGGCAAATGGTTCTCCCAATCTGTGTTCTCTGGCTTAATTACCCACTCTACAGCAAAACTGAGGCAGAAAATGTGTCCTGCACTGTTGAGGCTACTACCAATCACTATACTGAGTCATACCATGTTTATGTACTGACAATAACACCAATACAGTGTGAAGTGGGAAATCAGAGAGCACAACCCAGTTGCTTCAATCATTGTGTCACTGAAGGCAGTGTATTTCATTTGCATTCACTACGAATGTTATGTGATTGGATGTCAATTTTGAGGCATCTTATTAAAAAAAGAGGAGTATGGTTCTAAGTGAACTTCAGCAGGGAACACCATATAAAAATACATGAAAAAAGATACACTGGACTTTTTTCTCCCTTAATATTTTGCAAGAAAATTGAGTATAGAAATTGAGTCCCAAAACTGTACAATTCAAACTTTAAGGAGACTTTTCAATTCAGGAACTGATTGTTATTTGGAAGTACACCAACTGTTTGTTTTAGATGGCTGTGGTTATTCTGGCTCAAAGAGTGATAAAGAATAGCTTTGTTGTTTAATTTTACTCAAATTCCACTGTTGCTTTTTAACATTATTTTTACAGTTTATTTTTATCCATTGGTTTAAAGAACCATGCAATAAACTATACAAGTTCTTAGGAGTGAGTCAAAAATAGTGGCTTGCAAACGTTTATTTAACTGCCACACTATGCTGATTAACCAGCAGAAGAAAAACACAGAGCTAAATATTATCACTATCTAAAAATGTAACAACATTCAGCCTTCTTCTTTTCTCAAACAGACCCCCTTTTTTACAGTCCTGATTTTATACTATAAAAGAATACTCAAAAATACTAAATGGAAAATCACTTATCAGTTTAAAATGAAATATCAGCCTTATTTAATAAATCATTGAAAATATAACCAGGGTGTATAATTATCTTGTATTGCTTTAGTTGACCAAAATATTGAGATGAGAAAATGGAGAAAAAAACTTTAAGTTATGTGAAACATACGTAAGTCAAATAACTAAGCCAGATACAGTAGAATTCCAAAGGTGCATAAAAATAAGAGTTTTCTTTCTTTTTTAAAGAGACCTGTTTGATTAAGTTGAACAGCATAGCAAGTCACATAATTAATATGGAAAGTGGTAAATTCATATAGCCATATATTAGAATAATACTTCCTCTCGGATGCCTCTGAAGTTTGGATGCTTTGCAGACAGTAATGACTGATATAATGGCTTCATTTCTTCATATAATTACATTAATACTTACACAGTGCTTTTAATCTTCAAAGCATTTCATATACTTAATTGAAAAGGAGTGATCCAGTGTCTAGCCCGATAAGAACTAAAATGTTTGCCAATTACAGCTGTCAAGTAAAAATGTGCTTTTTAACTAATAGAACACCAACATAAATGTCACTTCAATCACATTTTCTGGTGTTTCTACTTTCAAAAGCTTAAGATCAACTATATCTACAACATCTGCCACTTAAAACCACAGACTCCTGAGCATTTTTTCCATGTCCAATACCAAAGAATTCAGCAGCCAGAAATTAACATGTATTTACATCAATCCCAAGATTCAACATCCGGATATGCTCAGTTTCAGACCAGTATTGCAAATAAGTGCAAAATGTCTTACTGCTGAGATGAATTCTTCCCATGCTCAGTCTTCCTACTGGAAGAGCCAAGAAGTAAAGCAATTGTGGACACCTAACCCCTTTACTGGGATATATTTACTGCTGAGTTCAAGCTCTCTGCAATGATTGCATGAAATAATGTAATAGTGATCCATTAAATCATGTTAAATAGAAAACTATTTCATGTTGATGAACACCTTGCAAGAAAATAATCATGTCCCCTCTTGCACTTATATAATCTTATATATTTTGTGAAAGAATGTAGATCTAGCCTTGGAAATGGGAAATTTATGGGGAAAGGAAAGAGTAAACTGTTAAGGGGAGGATTTCAGAAAAGATTATTTAGTCCTGAAACAGAAACACAAAGAGATTTTGTATGGAATTACATGGAGCAGTTAAAAACTGACAGACTGACAATATTTTAAAATTCAATAATAAAAAGCATTCTGGAATCTCTGCCATGCCTGTTCCTTAAGTTTACCAACATTGAAATGCTGATAATTATAGGTATATCTAGAGAAGATATATTTAAAATAAATAAATATAAATATCAGTATTAAAAGTTGAACAAAAATACTCATTCAACATTCTCTCAAAATACATAATAGATGGTTTCTCCAAATTTCTTCATGGAAGGAAAAATTCTCCACCCCAGGATGATGATAGCAGCACAGCTACTGAATAAAAAAAGCAAGGAAAGGATTTGCTCTTATTTACAGTACTTCCCTTAGGATTTAATTGAAATGCCAGAAGTTAAAAGAGAAGCTGAAGAATCTGGAAAGATACTGCACAGGCATTTGCTGAATCTGGAGGTTCTGCCAAAATGGAAAAATATGTATTACAACGTGGTATGCAAGTTTTTGCATACCTGCTTACCCATCACAATGCATATACAAAAAGGGAGGACTTTGCATCATGTTTGTTTGGTCATTTGTCTTGATCCCTGTCCTTCCCAGCAAGCTCTCCTGAGATGTGTCTAAAATGAAAGATTCTTGGCCACCCAACCAGTAGATCAGCTACAATATCTGCACCGGCAGTGAGATTCAAAATTTTTTACTACTGGTTCTGTGGGTGTGGCTTGGGGGCATAGCATGGCTTGGTGGGCTTGGCTTGGTGGGTATGAGACCGGAAGGTTACTGCAAAATCCCATGCCCTCCCCATCCCACTAATGTGTTTTCCAGCTCCGTTCTCCTGTTCAACAAAAGACCCAGCCGATCAGCTGGGACTCGGGAGGCAGAGAATAGATGGGGGCAGGGCCAGTCAGAGGTGGAATTCGCTGGTTCTCCAAATTACTCAAAATTTCCACTACCAGATCTCCAGAACTGGTCAGAACTTGTTGAATACCACCTCTGATCTGCACCCATAAGCATTTCTCCAAAACTTGCTGCTTCTTTGAGAAAAACAAATTCTCTTTCATGAAATTGAGTAAGATCTGTTTGTAAAAACCATATATCTTTTTCTTAAAGATATGTGCCCAAATTATTGTGCGGCTTTTATGTATTAAAGGAAAAACTAATTTTAAAAACTAATTTTATTAGTCAAGGGATGGGAAATCCCTTGACTAATAGACTACTTGTAGCCCATAGTTTAGGATGAAGTATTCTGGCCTATGTAATAAATTTCACATTGACTAGGGTTTAAATGCAGGACTATAAATTTCCTCCTCTCCTATGTGGATCAAATTCTCCAGTATTGGTAGCCAGGGTTTCTGCTGCCTGGGTATTACCATGCAGCTTAATCAGTTCCTATCAGTTTGAAGAATCAAGATAGAAAGAGTTGATGCTTTTGAAATTTGGTGCTGAGACCAGTATGGATAGCCAAGAATTCAAACGTATTATCAAGCAACCCAATTTAGACTTCTCACTCAAGACTAGGATCAAATTATTCTACTTGAAAGAAATTATATGGAGAAGACTCTGAGCTGAAAAGGTAGAAAGAAAGAAGACAACCAGCACCAAAGTGGATAAGCTCAGTTCACTTGTGATGAATTCACTGTTGGAAGATCTGAAAGATTATCAGGGCCACGGGACAGATTGTCATGGAGAAAACCTTTTATGTGGTTGCTAAGAGTAGACACCAACCTAATATGCAAAATCAATTATCGATCAATCAAGTTTCTATTATTCTAATCCCATTCTAGTCCCATTCAGTATAGATGGAAAGTATAGGTCTTTTTTCCTTCTTAGTTTCCAGTTTCAGTGTATTCTTCTGACTCAGTCCCAGTCTTCCTCCCATTCCAGTTTTTCATAGATAGATGAGAGTTTATGCCTGGGATAGAGGTGAATGTATTTTAAAAGATTTATGTCTTTGTTTCTCTAAGTTCTATTCTAACTGAATGTTATCTATTAATTTGCCATCTTAAATTTCTCCTTAATCTTCTG